GAGCAGCTTCATAAATTTAGTCCTTTTACGGTTTATTCAACGTTATGTAACTAATAAAGACATTAATAACATTCTGAACTGTGAGTTTTGATTTTTTTTTTTATTTGCAGTAAAAAATGCTCCAATTCTCTCTAATTTTATCACATAAACATTCAACATTATAAAACAAGGCCTCAAATGTAACTTGGATGTTCAGACCTGAGAGTTTCCAGTTTGCAGTTTGGACTCTTCAGTCCAGAAAACAGCAGCTTCAATCCAGAATCCTGCAGGTTGTTGTTACTCAGATCCATCTCTCTCAGATTAGAGGACTGGGAGCTGAGAACTGAGGCCAGAGCTTCACAGCTTCTCTCTGAGAGGTTACAGTCATTCAGTCTGAAGAGACAGAGATAGAAATGAAGAACTATGATTTAATAAAACACAAAATTGCATATTAAACAGAACATAGGAAACACACAATTTTTTATGTTGTGTGACAAAAGAAAAAAAGAGATTAAAGTATTTTATGTAATTATATGACATTACAAGGGTATATGAAACAATTTTTATAGCTGCATCAAAATTTACAGGCATGCTTTTCAGATTTACAGTAGCCCTGTAGCATAGGTGGTTTCTAATGCAATCCAACAGACCCTGGAACAAACTACAGGCAAGAGCTCTATTATTCAAATAAATGTTCAAAGTGCTGGTTCCTAAATATCCCGTCTCCCAACTTATTTGAGTTTGTTGTTAATAAAAGGAAAGACCATTCAACCACCAAAACTGCCATGCCAAACTTCTGTTTTCACTTCTAACATAGAGTTAACTACAATATAGTTACTCCAGTATGGGGGATCAATATATCCAAAAAAATACATAAGAAAATATATAAAAAATACTAATTACTATTATCCACTGGTGAAATATTAGCTTAAAATGTAAGTTAGTGAGCCATTGGATGCAAAAACATATGGAAAATAAAGATGTATTAAAAATATTATAAAAGAATAGTTTTTTTTCTAGTTAGTTTCAAAACCCATTTACTATTATATTATTTCCTTGTTTGTTTTATCCAGTTTACCATTAAGGATAACTGTGTGAGTCATGTTTATGAAGCAAAGCAAACATATTAAGCTTGAGGTTGGTTTTTTCACACATTAGAGTTCTTGTTTAACACTGAAATATACTACATTTACTACATTTTTTCCAATAACACATTTCTTGTTCCCAAATAACTCTTCTCTGTATTTAACCTGCAATAAAAGGTGTTTTCTGGGTTAGACATTTAACACGGTACAATAAAGTAATCTGACTATCTGCTCTACCTGCTGCTGAATGTGCAACTCTAACTCTACGTCCAGTCTTTGAACCTTCTAAATTCATCAGCAAGAACATGGTGGAAGTTAGGAAAAATATTGGAGAAATATCCCTTTTTATGTTTCAACATGCTCTCCTTGAACAATTGATGTGACAGACTATTTACTGACTTTTACACATTGATGCAGCTTTTTTATCAAATATGTCTGATGCACTCTGAAAATCATAGCTGCCAGAGCAGCAGCTGGTAGCCCCTCTAATCACAATATGTGGACCAACTTTTCATTTTTGCATCTAGGATTACACTTGCACAGCGAGATCTTCAGCACATTTACAGAAATAAGCTGAGATATAATATTAACATGAACATTTCTTACAAACTTAAACGTGTGACTTAATTTCGGTTTCTAGGTCTAGCGAGGTTGAACATAATTCACTATTTAAAACAATATAAGAAAAAAATAAGTAAATATGTTCCCCAAATATAAAAGAAACCAATTTGTGCAAAGATTAAAAATCAAATCAACTAGTATTTATCTAAAACTTTATATATATAATTTATATATAACTGAAAGTCAAAAAGTTTAATTGGGATAATAGTCACTCTTACCTGGTTTTAGTATTAGGTGTAAAACCCCAAATTCTGTCAGTACTTACAGAGCTTTGTTTGAAGCTTTGACCACTGGTAGCAGCCTGAGAAGAGCCTCCTCTGAAGCAGAGTATTTCTT